TTCCTTTAATAAAATTGTGCTGCTGGGTTCAAAAACGCTGCCACTCATTTCTACAGGGCTACGCTGTCTCCGCGCATTCTCATAGACTTGAAAATGTAAAGTGGCCACACGTCACACACGTCAAACGTCCCTGGCAAGGTTCAGCTTATCATTAGCACCACAGATGTAAACATTACGTCGACAAAACAATCGGTGAATGTGATACACAGTCCTGATGTGTTTAAATATTAGTGAAATCTGATCAGTATTATGGTTTTAAAAACGTATTTTGTTTCTTAACTCCAATTTCCAAATTGATGTCAGAGTGCCTCTAGTCCAGACAGAAACTAATGCCAGCTACCAGCTGCTATAAAGCCTCTTTCAACTTTGTCTCTACTCCCTCGGAGGGAATTCAAATGAAACGCTTTTCCCTACAATAAAACAAAGAGCCTGGGTAAATGTCAAAAATCGTTGGCATCCAGTAGTCGTATAGTTTGAGGATGAGTCGTGCACACTAAGTGGGTTACAAGGCATCAAAGTAAAAATCAGATCGCTGAAAAAATCACGGAAACAGCTGTAGCCCGTCTTGCTCTCTCGCTGGATTTAAAACACTGTTCCCAAGCAGTAACTGAAAATGTCCCACAAGATGAGCACGAACTTTCTCTAAAGACAGCTGGGAGCTGGACGCGACCACGAGTTCGATGGGAACGCGCCCCGTGCCCAAGCCGCAGCTGGGACTCGGGAGAGGCAAGGGTGACCGCGTGGCCGTGCTGTGGAAGGGACCCGCGCGGGCCCGCCACGAAGGCGGCCCTGCCTGGCGCGACCCGGGGAGAGCCCGGGCCGGCCGGGTGGAGGGCGCACGGGGGCACACGGACACGCACAGACACAGACACGCGCCCGGGCTGAGGAGGGTGGTGGGAGGACCGCTGGCCGCTCCCGGCGCCGAACCACAGGGAACCGGGACTCCAGCCACAAAGCGGAGAGGCGCCAGCAGCAATCGGCCACCTGAGTGGCGACGGAGTCTGAGCCCCTCTCAGCCAAGCCGGGGATCCGAAGGGATCCTGGACCCTCCCCGCACCGCCTAAACGCTCCTCGGCTCCTCCTTCCTCACGTTCCAGGTCTCTGCACCGAGGGGGCTGGTTCCGTCGCAGCCCCGAGCCCACCCGCCAATCCCGCAGGACACTGACCGCTCCGGCCGCTGCAGGTTCTCCCGGGACTGCCCCCACAAGGGGGCCGCTGTCCCGCCCCACGCCGGGGGCCGCCACAGGACGAGTTCTCTAGCTCCAGCCGGGCGAGGCGCCAGGGAGCTCCGAACGTGGCAGGACCCACTTTTACTTTTCCAGACAAGGGCCGACGGTTGTGACTTGGCTTTCCGTGAAGTGACTCCCGGCGACGGCAGCAGAGTGAACTACCGAAGCTTGCAGTTGAGGTTTGAAAACTGCAGCCGCGTCTGGAGCATCGCCGTTCGCCAGATCCCTCCCCCTAGGTCGGGAGAGCCAATCGGAGCGCGTGCGGAGGGTGGGTCTGTCACGTGACGGGAGGGGCGGGGGACCGGCCGGGGGCGCGTGTGCGGGGCGGGGCCCGGCGGTGAGAGGGTGCGGCTCCGGGCCGGCCCCAGGCGGGGCGGGGAGGCGCAGCGGCGTGGCGGCGCAGGTGGGGCGCACCGGGGCTGCCGCGAGGGAGGGGCGGAGGGGCAGAGGGGCAGCGCTGCAGAGGAGGCACGCAGGGCTGGAGCTCCTGCTGGGTGCACTCCTTCCTACCTTCAGAGAGGTCAGTCGAGACCTCTCTGAGAATATCCGGAGAATATCCGGAGACCCGGGAGAAGGAAGCCGCAAAATCCCAGCTGCCTGCAACTAGTTACCAAACTTCAGTGCCTACCAAAGACCTATTTTCTGACTCTTCCTGGGAATCTTCCTTAGGACCTGAACCTACCTTCTAAGTGGAGAACCTAGTTTTCTTCAACTTGGCAGAGGTTCCTCGGAGCGTCAACATCAGTTGGGGATTTATGGAACCCGGACCCCACTGCTAAAGTCTGCTGTCGCGAATGGTGTCCCTTCTGAGGCATTGACTGAAGGCAATGTAGGGAGGGTCCCAATAGGCTGAATAACCGATTTTGCATATATGGTGCCAAGGAAAAAGATGAAAGCCCTCAGCAACGTACTCAAGATCTGTTACCCTTTGAAGACAGTGGAAATTTTCAAAGTTCTGTGCAAGACACAAATGTTTTACATAGATATATAATCCTAGTTTATATGTATAGGATACACACATACTCATACATATATGGGATTAGTTATGTAATCTAGGATTGCTTTCAGAGGACATTTAATTGCAGAAAACCCTTCCTTGGGAAAAGATACTGGGAGTGGAGTCGTCCTCTTGCTTTCAAAAGACTTAATGCTCAGTTAACATATAAAGGACAGGTTTTCTTGTTCTATCCCACCAAGCCAAGCAAATTCCTATGAAGCTAGCTGTTTCCCTTTCCCACTGCATTTTCCCCCAAGAAAAAGGTATCGAATACATCACAGCCCTTTTTATGAAGTCTGTTTGTTGTTACTTACATTAACTCATCCCGGTTTAATAATGTCTTGCCCCTAAACCTTGTCAAATGAAGAATATTGCTTCCATCTATCTAATGTCTCGTTGCTAACAATTGGGCTGACTAGAGAAGCCTAAAGTTAGGATGAAAATAAACAAAATGCCACACACTGGAATTAACTTTTCTGGGGTCTAAGAATCTGTAAGCAATGAGACTGTTTCCATCTTTTCTTTCATGAACATAGGTGTTGCATTCCAGAGGTCTCAGCACCAGTACCAAAACTAGTAACTTCATGGTGGTCACAGGATTACATCATTATGGTGGGTTTTGGGGTTGTGTGTTTAACTTTAGACCTCCTTAATTTCAACATTTCATCAATTGCTAGCTTTTGGCAACCTTCTCACACTCACCCCATCCTCCCTGTCACGAATCCAGTCCCACATCACTTCACACCTAGACACAGACTTTTCTCTCTCTGGCACCACTGTAAGCCAGTCCTCTTGGTCACAATACCTCTGCTGTAATCAGCCAGCCTCCTAGGGATATTGTCATGTCTTGCATTTTCCTGATTCTGCCTTAGCTCCAGCTTATCACCATCCTCCTCATCCACACCTGTTCATCAGTTTCTGACTTTAAGAAGGTTACCCTCTTCAGGAATCAGAACTCTGCTGATTCCTACTTTCTCTTCCCAGCCTGATCACCTCTGCCTTACGTTCTTTGGTGCAGGGCTGATAGTTTGTGTTTCTTTTACGACCCTAAATAGGTTGTTAATCCTTGTGCCTGATGTCAGATTTGTTAACTAGGATTTATCACACTATCCCAAGGATATTCAACCTCAGGCACTGTGGTTCAAGTAACAAGGAATTCATAGTGCTGAGGAGGAGACAGTACATCTGTGGCCTTGCAGGAAAATTCAGAAGTCAACACATTCCTCCATCCACCTCATCTACCTAAACTCATTCATAACCATGTCAAAAATTATGTTCTTGCTCTCATTCCCTCGAGTAGGAAATCTCCAGGTGAGCTGATGGTCATTCTGTGGTCATTGCCTCTGACCACACAGTTCATTAAGTTGACCTTCCTTGAATGACACAGTCCGACCATGGATGGTGGTTGTTATGGGCTCAGTTGTGTTCTTTTCCAGTTCATACATTGACATTCTAACCCTCAGGAACTCAGAGTATGACCGTATGTGGAGATAGGACCTTTAAAGAAGTAATTAAGGTAAAACGAGATGAGTGGCCCCTGATCCAAGATGACCGGTATCCTGATAAGAATAAATTAGGACACATACAACACTGACTAAGGGTCAACCCTGTGAGGACATAACAAGAAGGTGGCCATTTGCAAAGCAAGCAGAGAGGTCTCAGAAGAAACAAGACCTGCTGATATCTTAATCAAGGGCCTCTAGCCTCCAGAACTGTCTGTTGTTAAAGCCGTCTGCTCCGTGGTATTTGTTATGACAGCCTGAGCAAACACATGCAGTGGTCCTCCCGGATCACTCCAGGTTAGTAATCACACACTGACTAGGAGTGATCCTTCCCAGTCACCACAAGTGGCTTACCACACGTGGCCAGGGCAGGCGATCCTCTCTGGTAATGGCAAGACACTTACCATATTCTGTCCAGGCAAGGGACCTTCCCCAGTCACACCAAGTCAGTCACCTCATACTGACCACATAATGATCAGGAAAGTGACTCTCACTGATTCCATGTTTACTCCCTATAGATGCAGAAAAGGAGGGTTTTGCACAGAGAAGAAGGCCTCAAACTCAAAACTCTAGCCACTGACACACCCTCCTTCTGAAGAATTTATGTGGAAAAGGCAGAACAAGTTCTACTACCTGTCTAGAACTGAATACACCAGAAACCCGTGGCCAGGCTAAAGGTAGCCAGACACAGTCAAGGCCAACAGCCTCTGAAGGGGTGTGGCTCAACCCCCCACCCAACAGGGGTGCTCACTGAATGGAGACAGGCCCCTCCAAACAGATCCCCTCTCTGGAGGTAGGAATGGTGAGTGTACTCAGATGGAGATGTCACAGTGCATTTACCCATGGTACCTACAACAAATTGCAATTTTGAAAGCACTGAGAACGAGAGACTCTAAGAGACCTCACATTCCCTGACTCTCTTGAAACACTATTAGCAAAGGTAATTGGGGCATGTTTTGTCTCATGAGAATAATAACTGAGACTGGTACAAGTGTCTTCCTTAAAGGGTGACACAGTTTTCCTCTCCAAAACATCCATGTTCAACTAGGGCCAGTATGCCAATCCAACCACTCACTGCAGTTTATAGCGTATAACCTGTCCTGTAAAAGCTACCCAGAAGAAATGCCATGCACATTGGTGAATGTTCTAGTAGTCATATTTTTAAAAGTAAATAGATAAAATTAATTTTAACATTTTATTTAACCCACTATTTCTAAAACATTGTCATTTCAACATGTAATCAACATAATTATTGAGACTTCCTTTATTTTAAAATAATATTTATAGTAAAATAAAAATTATTTTACTTCCTTTTAAAATATTGTCTTAAATTTGGTGTGTATTTTATACTTACAGCATGTCCCAATTTGTATGCCAAATTTTCATCGGAAACACTTAATCTGTATTTAGATTTCACAAAATTTACTGTTGCAAAAAGCAGATTCACATTCCTAAGTTGTTTTGAACATACTAAAGATTTTCACACCAGGTGCAGTGGCTCATGTCTGTAATCCTAGCACTTTGGGAGTCCAAGGCGGGTGGATCATTTGAGGTCACGAGTTCAAGACCAGCCTGGCCAACATGGTGAAACGCCGTCTCTACTAAAAGTACAAAAATTAGTCAGGCATGTTGGCAGCTTCCTATGATCCCAGCAACTTGGTAGGCTGAGGCAGGAGAATCACTTGAACCCAGGAGGCAGAGGTTGCAGTCAGCTGAGATCGTGTGCCACTGCACTCCAGCTTGGGCGACAAAGCGAGACTCTGTCTAAAAAATAAATAAAGTTTTTCAATAACTAAATAGGGTATCAGTTTCTTACTCTAAGTTTAATGACAATGAAATAAAATTGAAAATTTAGTCATGTTAGTCACATCTCAAGTGTTCCATGGCCACGTGTGGCTACTAAGTTAGGCAGTGTAGGTCTAAAGGGCTAGAAACGTGCCTTCTAATTGTGTCTAAATTTCCAGTGCTAGAGACAATCAGAGCAGTCTAGAGCTAGAAAAGTTCTTGCAGTTTAGTAACCCAACTCCCTTGTTTTAGAAGGGAAGAAACCTACAACGAGAGAAGTTGAGGGACTTGCAAAAGATCACACACCTAAACTAAGTGGTGCATATCTGAACAATAATTTAGGTCTCCTGACTCTTAATCCTAAGATATTATTTAAGCCTCTTCACATCAGACATACTTCAGGATAAAGTAATTTTTAAATTTATCTGAATCATCACTCCGATGATACAGGCAAGAGAAAGCAAACCTGTATCCCAACTGCATTCTCATAACCTGATAAAAGCACACCCTACAATATTTAAGGCACCCTCCTTCCACTCTGTCATGGGGTCCATGTGGTTTCATCTGTCAGCCCTCTTACCTCAATGCGTCACCGCTTCCTCTCTTTGGAGCCACCTGGCTGAACATCGCTGCTGCCCGCCCCCAGAGCATCCGGCCACATTTTTCTGTCTGCAGTTTTCCTATCCCAGCTGTCTACCACACTTTGTTTAAGGTTGTGCTTCAGAGAATCCTTTATATTTGCAAACCAAAATATTCAGTAGAAACTACAGCAAAGTTGTAGAAGAGCTGCTATGTTCCAGCCACAAACACACCAGGCTCTAAAGTTCTACCTCGTGAGAAGCTGTGAGAGAGAAAGAGAAGATATATGTGTGGTTAAGTGTGTTACATCAGACAGCCCTGCCTTCAAGTCCCAGTTCTGCCCATTCCTTGTTGTGTGACTTTGGGCAATCCTCAGTTTTCTCATCTGTAAAATGGGGATAATAATAATAGCTACCTCCATGAGATTGAAATGGGATAATGCATACTAAGAACCGTGCCTAACAAGAGTAAACCCTTGGTTCCATTCCTATAAGCTATTATTATTTACCAGTGGTTTGCCAGCTTCCCATGTGCACTACTGTGCCCTGTGACTAGTAAGATGCTCAAGACATTGTGGGTCCTATGTAAATATTTGTCAAATGGCTTTATAAGATACTTTTGATTTTCCTCAAATCTTATGGTTGATGCTAGTAGGGATCATTGGGGAAAAAAAAGTCATTGGAAAGGAAAGGGGAGAGGGAGGTGACTGCTTTTCCTTTCAGTATCTATCTGGTGGAGACACCCAAGTTCAGAATGAAGCTCTAAGGTCAACAAATGGTGGCGTCCAAGGACCCGTGTGAGATAAAGAAATTAGTCACTAGTGTTTAAAGGAAATAGATATCAAGTGGCGCAAAGAAATAAATATAGGGTATAAATATAGGGTGCCATCTATTTGATTGGAGTAGATAACGCCTGCGAGCTCTCCCTAATAAATCTCTTCCTTTTTCACTTTGCTAAGAAACTTCCTCTACCAACTGCATATACCATGAATGACAACCTGCTATCACATTCTCCAGGGTACATGGCAGGTACCCTTCCAGAAACCCTTCATTGAATGAGTCTTCTTACAGCAGGCAGCAGCAGATATAGATAAGGCAGAACCAACTTTTAATCCCCAGCAACTCCCTTGTTAGGAGTGGTCTCTGTGTCAACTGGTGTAAGGTGATAGTATGAACATTGAGAAGGCCAATCTATTCTGAAAGTTGAGCCATTTTGTGGCATAAAAGCATTAGTAATGTGGGAAATGGTACTATTCCTGATTATCACAGCATTCCTGATATTGAGAATATTCAAAGGTTCTTGAGTCTTTTTAGTAGTTGGCCTTTCCTTTAGATTTATAGAGCAGCATTTCATGGCTTCACTTTTTACTGAAGAAGCAGTAAGTTCAGAGCTGTTCAGAACCTTTAAAAGGTCACAGATGGGAGGCCGAGGTGGGTGGATCACGAGGTCAGGAGATCGAGACCATCCTGGCTAACACGGTGAAACCTCATCTCTACTAAAAAATACAAAAAAATTAGCCGGGCATGGTGGCAGGTGCCTGTAGTCTCAGCTACTCGGGAGGCTGAGGCAGGAGAATGGCATGAACCTGGGAGGCAGAGCTTGCAGTGGGCCGAGATCACGCCACTGCACCCAGCCTGGGCGACAGAGCGAGACTCCGCCTCAAAAAAAAAGAAAAAGGTCACAGATTATGAGAGAATGGTTCTGTAATTTACCAGCTGTGAGATCTTGAGCAGGTTAGAAAATCTCTATGCCTCTGTTTTTCATCTGTAAAATGGAGATAATATACTTGCCTCATAGTGTACATGGCAACAACAGTTCATAAATAATGAGACTGGCACTGTTCTAAATGTGTTGCTTATGTTAATTCATCTAATCCTCACATCCTCCTATGAGTTACAGTGCTATACTTTCCTCCTTTAAAGATAAGAAAACTGGCTGGGCCTGGTGGCTCACGCCTGTAATCCCAGCACTTTGGGAGGCTTAGGCGGGTGGATCACAAGGTCAGGAGATCGAGACCGTCCTGGCTAATATGGTGACACCCCATCCCTACTAAAAATACAAAAAAAAAAAAAATTAGCAGGACATGGTGGCGGGCACCTGCAGTCCCAGCTACTTGGGAGGCTGAGGCAGGAGAATGGTGTGAACCCAGGAGGCAGAGCTTGCAGTGAGCCGAGATTGTGCCACTACACTCCAGCCTGGGCGACAGAGTGAGATTCTGTCTCAAAAAAAAAAAAAAAAGATAAGATAACTAAGGGACATGGAAGTTATATACTTGCTTGCAGTCATCCAAGCAGTAATGAGTAGAGCCAGGATTCAAGTCCATCCTCTACTACACAGGCTTTTTTTTTTTTTTTTTTCGAGACAGAGTCTCACTCTGTCACCCAGGCTGGAGTGCAGTGGCGTAATCTCAGCTCACTGCAACCTCTGCCCCCCAGGCTCAAGTGATTCTCATGCCTCAGCTTTCTGAGTAGCTGGGACTACAGGCATGTGCTCCACACCCAGCTAATTTTTTTGTGTGTGTGTGGGTTTCGCCATTTGCCCAGGTTGGTCTCGAACTCCTGAGCTCAGGCAATCCACCTTCCTCCAGTCTCCCAAAGTGTCAGGATTACAGGAGTAAGCCAGCGCACTCAGCCTACACAGACTTTTACTGTGTGGATATTTAACAACTAGCTACTAACAAAAGAGCACACCTTCTTGGGTGTTTTATTCATCTAGTTCCTGGCGCCCTTGTTCTTTTCAGCCTTTTGTTTCTTCTCATATCCACCATTCCAAAATTGCTTTATTGTTAAAATAACTTTACAAGTATATAAAACATGCAAAGAGAGAGGGCTAAAATGATCCCTATATAATGGATCAGAGTTAGAACATCTGGTTGAAACTCCTGTTTAGCTTAATATAGATACAGATATTTATGTATAGAAATATTTGTAGGTTATGTATATATACATAGGTTTATATACACATGTATAGCTCCTTGCTCTGTCAGCTGAGGGTGCCTAAAAAGTAATGACACCTCAGAAACAACAGCATACTTAGCACTCTAATATCATTCTCCAAGAAAAGGAATCAAAGCTCTTCGGAGAAATGGCTGCTTCTATGACTGAGGATGGAAATATACAGATGGGCCTGAAGTATCTTGTAGACCAGAAAGAAGGAAGTGCAAGCAAACACCACCATGCAATTATGGGGGCATTCAAAGGGAAGGGACCCAGGAGCCAACTACAGGAGCTCACAATGGCCAAAGCTAGGACAATTTGAGCAACACAAGAAATAAAGCAGTAGTAGACTATAACCCAAAGTATAAAATAAATAAATATGAATTCATACTGACATAAATAAATGGTTGAAAGAATAGACAAATCTTCCATACAGAAGAAATATGAATAATTTATGCAGATACTCCACCCTCAAGTCGGTGGAGCATAACTCTCCACTCCTTAAGTGTGGGCTGCCGATAGTGACTTTCTTCCAAAGACTGAAATGGAGGAAGAGATGGGGAGAAAGGAACTTTAGGGTGGAGAAACCTGATGAAACCCACCTCAAGCCAGATGATCAAGGTTAAGGTCAGTAGTCATAAGTCATGATGTTGTGTACCCTTAATATAACGTGATAAGAATGATACTTTGCCTGTGTAGTCTTCCTCCTAAAAACCCATAACTCCAGTGCAACCATGAGAAAATCATTCGGCAAATCCCAGTTGAAGAACATTCTATAAAATGCCTGACCTATACTCGTCAAAACTGTCAAGGCTATCCAAAACAAGGGAAGTCTGAGAAATAGTTACAGCCAAGAGGGACCTGAGGAGATGCTATGACTGAGTGTAGTGGTATCCTGGGTGGGAACCTGGAATAGAAAAATGATGTTAGGCAAAAACTAAGGAAATCTTTATTGAACAATAACGTATTAATATTGGTTTATCAGTTGTGACAAATGCACCCTTGCTAATGTAAGATCGTATAATAAAAAGGGAAATTGGTTGGGTATGAATCTAAAACTGTTCTAAAATGAAAGGCTTTGTTTAGAAAAATGAATGAGTCTGCTATTGCTTTAAATATTCAAATTTAGAGAATGTAGAACTAATCAAATAATCAAAATATAGCCCTCCTATTATTTTTGCAATCTGTTCAGAACACCATCGTGTTAGTAATTTGATGCAGGTTCAATCCAATATCCATCTCCAATCAAGATTTCCAAGTCAGATAAAAGTATATGCAATAGGAATCCAGAAAAAGATCCAGAAAATTGTGTTTTGATAAAATGTATATCATCTGATTTTAATCACAAAGTGAATCTTTCATGTAGCATGTTGCCCAGGCTGGTCTTGAACTCCTAAGCTCACTTGATCTGCCTGTCTTGGCCTCCCAAAGTGCTGGGATTACAGGCATGAGCCACTGTGTTTGGCCTCTCCTTTAATTTCTAATATGGTAAGTATTGACCATATTAACCATGTCCTATGGACCATACTTACTAGATTATCATATTTACTGTATTTACCATTTCTTATCTACATAGATATAACCTGCATCAACCAAAACTCTTTGAGGTCCTGAGTAATATTTGAGTGTAGAAAGTTTGAGAACCAAACAGCTTGAGAACTGCTATTCTCATCATAGTGACCAGTCTGCTTTTTCAAGACTGGGACATTTGTTACTCTATGGCCACCCTGAATTTAGAGAATTCCTCACCTTTTGAGTCCATGAAAGTGAAAGTGACAAATATACTCCTTGCAGCTTGGGAGGAACAACTACCTTAGGTTCTATCAACCAATCACACATACGCACTTGAACTTTTGAATCTGGCGCTAGTAAGTCTGGGCCATGAAGAACGCTGAGACGGAAGGAGGGGTAGCAGAGAGAGCAGGCCCTGGAAACAGCAGGTCTAGTGGCATCTCCAGTGTCCACGGCATAAGCTGCAGTGTAGAATCCTAAATTTGGGCAATAGTGTCATCATCTTCCCCTGAACAATCCACAGACATGACTTTGGATGTTTTTCCTAGTTATCTTGTCCTGACTTTGGTTCTCCAGCCTGGATCTCCTTTCTATGAACTACTCAGTATATTTAAATACATTATTTTTCAGCTTCAGATATCCAGAGATGTTTAGTTGCTTGCAATTAAGAACTCTGACTGGTCCTATGAAAAACTGATTTCTTAGTTAGCTTCTATGGTTATATATTTTGACCACTTTTACATTAATCAGCCTTTTTGAAATTCTACAAATAAACCATGGCTAACCAAAATGAAAAGAAAGCAAAATAAATGTACCCTTTGCTTTATCTGCCATAGAAAACAAACAACAGCCAGGCACGGTGGCTCATGACTGTAATCCCAGCACGTTGAGAGGTTGAGGCAGGGGGATCACTTGAGGCCAGGAGTTTGAGACCAGCCTGGGCAACATCGCGAAACTCTGTCTCTACTAAATAAATAAATAAATAAATAAATAAATTAGGTAGGCGTGGTGGCATGTGCCTGTAGTCCTAGCTACTCAGAAGGCTGAAGAAGGGGGAATGCTTGAGCTCTGGAGTTCAAAGTTGCAGTGAGCTATAGTTGTGCCATTGCACTCCAGCCTGGGCAACTCTGTTTAAGAAAAAAAAAGAAAACAAACAACACCACAAATAAATTAAAACATCTAGCTTTTTGAAAGATGAAAAAAAATGTTGGCATTCTACTCTGGCTATAAACTTTTACTTAGAGTTTGGAATTGTGATCCAACTTTCAACAAGCAGAGTATAAGATTTTCATTGTATTACTTCCCAGCTATGCAATTTCTATAAAATGGGCAAAAGACTCTGAAGAGAATGCCTGGTGACGCCATGCCATGTGCTTAGTTCATTATAAATCATTTCAAGTACCTCCAGCCTCTCTGAGCCAATCAAAACAGAAATGTTCTAACGCATTTGAGAGAATCTTATTTTATAGAGTGCTTAAGAGAGGCATGAAAAGCATACTAGATTTCAAATGTACCAAATTATCCAGAAAGGATTTTGGAACTGGTTCCTATTAGGTTACTTTCATTATTATTTAATACAACATATAAAATATAACACTTTTCTGTTTGAGCTGCTAGTGCCTGGAATGCTTCTGCCTTCTACAATTTCGCAAGCAAATTTTAACACATTTCTGTTCTAGTCTAGTTACTACCTTATTGCTAGACATCAAAGGTGAAAAGCGTGCAGGTCAGTTGGGCCCTTCAGATCTTTCCATTTCATGCTAACTCAAATTATTAGGGACTTAAATTAATTTTGACTAGAAAAAGCATCTTCTTCTACAATTGAAATACTACCACAGATGAAGGATTCTTGGAAGCAGCGTCTTGAAATAATTTAGGGAAAACATACAAGGAGAGCAACCCATTGCTATTTCCTCTCATCTCCAATTTCCACAGTTAACTTCTCAGGAGAAAGCCTTGTGTATAGTAGAAATCCATAGACAAGCATAAATTAGTACACCCCACCTTGAGAGATTTAAAAACCGGCACATGGAATGACCAATGTTAACCTATTTCTTGCAAGCCTAAACTATGGACACACCTTTTTCAATTTGAGATTTTTGAGCACTTGACAGATGATTATCTTGGTCTACTTGAGAGAAGTTCCGTAGGCATAAAATCAGTTGTCTTTGTTTCTTCCTGTCTCTCACCCAGGCCTTTTTTTTTTTCTTCCTGCTAAGAACAGGAAATTGCAGAAATAAAGATTTGATCAGTTCCCATTAATTCAGTGAACTTTGTTTCGTTTAACCTAAGCTAACAGCACATTTGTAATTTGCTCAAATCATACAAATTATCAGAATAGGCTAGTTTTGTATATAATTATCTCAATCACCAGTCCTCGCGTTCTTCTTCTCATTAAGCCTGTCTCTGAGGAGGCTGTCCGTTCACAGTAAAAATAGGCAGTACCTTTGAGACACTTTCTGTTACTCATTGACCTAGAAAAATCCCCTGCTAGTAGCTCAGTCCTGAGCAGGTCTGAAAGCTTCTGGGTCAATCACACATGCTGAATATGGCACAGGATATATTAATATTAATAACACTTGATGTCTGTACAGCATTTTAGTCAATATAAAGCTTTCACATGCAATGACTTATCTGAGCCTCAACAGTCTAGGGATTACTGTTAGCAAAGCCAGTGTTATCCCATTTTACAGATGAGAACAGAGGTCATGAGAGTGACTTGTCCATCAGAGGTCAGGGCTCAGTCTAGGGCTGAAGACTGTGAGCCCTTCTGAGTGACTCCTAACAGAGAAGACTCGCCAGAGAGCACACTTACCCGAGACGTGCTTTCTCTTCTCACTCACCCCACCCCTTGTCTGAAGCATTATAGGAGCCCTGTGACAGACCAGCTGCGAACAATGCAGAAGAAAGGGAAACATAATTTGTCTGGAGGACCCAAAGTCCAGATGGCAAGCCAGACCGAGCCCCACGACTGTCTTACCTGCAGGTGTGTGCAGCACCAGAAGCCCCAAAACGGTGTTCACATGTCCCCACCTGGTTGGGCCACACTCACTCCCTGCTGCGGCCCAGATTGCCTGAGGAGGTTTCACGTGGGGATTTAGGAAAATTAAGAATGATTTACCACCTAAAGTAATAAGATTTAGCACAGAACTAAATCTGTGCTAAAGAATTGCAAACCAAGAGCTAAGGTTAGAGGAAGATATTTAAGAGAAAGAAATGCACTTGCTGTTTTTAAAAGTTGATATTTCTGTAGTAAGAATGAAGAACTAAGAGTACAAATAATTGTTTTTACAGTGAAATGACACAGAGGAATGCTCTAAGTAAAGCGGGGCAATACATTTATACGTAAGATGCAATGTGTTCGTCGTTTTATTTAATTCTTGGAATGCAACCTTGAATCGTTATTCTCACTTCTCACATGAGGAAACTCAGGCTTACCGAGTTTGAGTGACTTACTTAAGGCCATATAGGGAGTGAGTGAAGACAAAATTTGAACTCAGACTACAAATCCCATTTCTTTTCAGGATACTGCACTACAATCTAAGTACAGCTTACCTGTTCTCATTTTTATTTTTCATTATGTCCCATCTCTGTAACTCATTATTCAAATAAGTTTATATTATTATAGTGGGAACCTACTTATCTGGTTGTCTAACTTCTAAGGAACAGGAAGTAGGCCAAAACTCTTCTGAGAAACATAATAGATGTTACAGTGTTCACATGTGAGAAGATTCTCCTTGGCAGTCATTCTGTCTTTCAAGTATACTCTGTAATTATTTTGGATGTTTATAGGACTGCAATGATAGGATACTGCAGGAGCTTTCCCTCTGATCTTCCAATGACTGGCTGCTTTTCCAACTTCAGTTCTCATCTTAAATGTTACATCCTCTGAGAGGCTTTCTCCGTCCCTTGCTGCTCCCTGTTCTTTATAGCACTTTTTATAACAATTGGTAATTATGGACTTATTTGTTTATTGCCTGTCTTCCCCATAACATTGTAAACTCCCCAAAGGCAGGAAACATGGCTGTTTATTCAGCAGTGTTTCCCAGCACTTATGGTGCCTGGAACAAAGTAGCCACTCAGTAAGTGTTCATGGGATGGATGGATGGATGGACAAATGGACCTGTGGAAATAGGTGTTTTGGTCGTCTGACCTAGGGAAGACCGGATTACGTTTTGAGCTAGGGTAGCTCAATCACCCTTTCCATATAAATAACCTTGAGATTTGGTGGCCTCCCAAAGACAATAGACAGGAAGTATGAAGCCAGTCCACTGGGACAGGAGGAGGAAGGAAAGTAACATCTACTGAGCCCTTAACAAGTACAAAGCAATGAACTATTAAAAGTAAGGGTGGCTGGACGTGGTGGCTCAGTGGTGGCTCACGCCTGTAATCCCAGCACTTTGGGAGGTTGAAGCAGGTGGATCACAAGGTCAGAAGTTCAAGACCTGCCTGGCCAAGATGGTGAAACCCTGTCTTTACTAAAAATACAAAAATAAGCCAGGTGTGGTGGCAGGTGCCTGTAATCCCAGCTACTTGGGAGGCTGAGGCAGGAGAATCACTTGAAACTCAGGTGGCAGAGGTTGCAGTGAGCCGAGATCGCGCCACTACACTCCAGCCTGGGTGATAGAGTGAGACTCCGTCTCAAAAAAAAAAAAAAAAAAAAAAAAAAGAAGTAATGGCAAAACTCGCAATTACTCTTGCACCAACCTAATAGCTATACATGGACTTATTTAACATAAAAAGCACTGCAGGAGAAAGAAATCACCCCTATTTTACAAATGAAAAAAGTGAGACTTACACTGGTGAGGTTGCCCAAGGTCACCCAGCAAAGTAGTGGAACCAGGATATGAAGTGCAGAACCAGGATATGAAGTTAATCTGTCACTTTGAAGACCACGCTATTTTTTTTTTTTTTTTTTTTTTATAAAGCAAATTTGGCCAGGCACAATGACTCATGCCTGTAATCTCAGAACTTTGGGAGGCCAAGGTGAGAGGATCGCTTGAGCTCAGGAGTTCAAGACCAGCGTAGGTAACATGGCAAAAACCCCATCTCTACAAAAAATACAAAAATTAACTGGGCATGGAGGTGTACCTGTGGTCCCAGCTACTCAGGAGGCAGAGTTGAGAGGATCACTTGAGCCCAGGAGGTCTAGGCTACAGTGAGCCATGATCATACCACTGTACTCCAGCATGGGTGACAGAGTGAAATCTTGTCTCAAAAAGAAGCAAATTTACTTTAAAACATGTTTTCCTTTTTTTATTGACCCATAACTTACATACAAGAAGTGCTTATATTTTAAGTGTGCAGTTGATAACAAATATGTATACACCCTTGTACCACCACCCAGATCAAGAAATAGTACATTTCTAACTATGGAGAAGTCCTCCCCCATTCCAGTATCTCCATGGTAAGCACAGTTTTGACTTCTATCATCACCGGCTCCTGTTGCCTATTTTTAAAGTTCACATGATGGAACCTTAACAGTATGCCCTCTTTGTGTTAGGACTTTTTTTTTTTTTAGACAGAGTCTCACTGTGTTGCCCAGGCTGGAGTGCAGTGGTGCTATCTCAGCTCACTGCAAGCTCCGCCTCCTGGGTTCAAGCGATTCACCTGCCTCAGCCTCTCAAGTAGCTGGGACTACAGAAGCCCGCCACCATGCCCAGCTTTTTTAAAATTTAATTTTATATAATTTTTTATATTTTTAGTAGAGACAGGGTTTCACTATGTTGACCAGGCTGGTCTTGAACTCCTAACCTCATGATCTGCCTGCCTCAGCCTCCCAAAGTGCTGGGATTACAGGTGTGAGCCACTGTGCCCGGCTGTGTTAGGACTCTTGTCTCTGGATTCATCTATGTTGTTGCTTGCAGCAGCAATTGATCTTTTTCATCGCCGAGTTATATTACCGTGAATTACTATAATCACAATCTGTTCTACTATTGACATTGTTTTCAGTTTTATTAATAAAGTGCTATGAAAGTTCTTGGACATTTGTTTTGGTGGACATAAGCACTCGTTTCTGTTGGGTACACACTCGGAAACTGGACTTGCTAGTTATGGTGTGCATATATTTGGCTGTAGTTGATGCTGCTAAACAGTTTATCAAAGTGATTACATCAATTTACACTCCTACCAGTCATGCAGAGAATTCCCATTGCTCCATATCCTTGACAGGTGTCACTATCATCAGTTCTTTTCATTTGAGTCACTCTGGTGAAGGTAAGCCATGCTCTTATAAACTATGAATGGCACCTTAGAATGAGTTATAAGCCCTCAGAAAAGGAAAGACCAAGGGTTTGCTTCTGGGTCTTACATGAATCTGACTTGATACTACTCCCTGGTCTCAATAAAATGAGGCTTACATTTCTGGCCACCTACTAGGTGAAGGGGAGTCTCCCCAAAGAATAGAAACAGACTAACAACTGGCTCACAAATGCGATTAAGGCAAATAGAGAAATGGGTCAGAGCCAAGGGCAAGACTTTCACCTCTATGGTCAGAACCACAGAGACCTCCAACAGAGGGGTGAATAAAGCCTCGTCAAAGTTAGTCCACCTTTTGAACTGGACTATTAGAGCAGAACTAGTTTGAACTTAGTAAGGAAGTGCTTGCCTCATGTAGAGGGTCAGACAACTGTCACTACAGTTATTGTATTTTGAGCACTTTGTATGTGCTACATACAGTGCTTTTTGCTTTATAGAATGTAATAGTTAGGACTGTTGGGTTGTAAATAACAGAATCCAACCTAATTTTAAAAATATTTATTTTTATTTCCAGGGTGCATGTGCAAGATGTGCAGGTTTGTTACATAGGTAGACATGTGGCATGGTGGTTTGCTACACCTGTCAATCCATCACCCAGGTATTAAGCCCAACATGCATCAGCTGTTTTTCCTAATGCTCACCCTTCCCCGACCCTACCTCCTGACAGACCCCAATGGGTGTTGTTCCCCTCCCTATGTCCATGTGTTCTCATTGTTCAGCTCCCACTTATAAGTGAGAACATGTGGTGTTAAGTTTTTTGTCCCTGCATTAGTTTGCTGAGGATAATGGCTTCCAGGTCCATCCACGTCCCTGTAAAGGACAAGATCTCATTCTTTTTTTATGGCTGCATAGAATTCCATGGTGTATATGAACCACATTTTTCTTATCCAGTCTATCATTGATGAACATTTGGGTTGATTCCATGTTTTTGCTATTGTGAATAGTGCTGCAATGAACATATGCATGCATTTATCTTTGTAACAGAATAATTTACACTCCTTTGGGTATATACCCAGTAATGGGATTGCTGGGTCAAATGGTATTTCTGGCTCTAGATCTTTGAGGAATCACCACACCATCTTCCACAATGGTTGAACTAGTTTACATTCCCACCAACAGTGTGAAAGTGTTACTATTTCTCCACAACTTTGCCAGCTTCTCTTGTTTC